GGTGAGCTGTGGGGTCCCCAGGAGGGTCCCTCAGGGCAGTGAGATGGGTGGGACAGTTGGGGAGGCACCAAGGTCTGGAGAGGGCTTGGGAACATCTCCATGGTGACCCCGGTGAGACCTGTGGGGCCGTGGCTGTCCCCGAAAAGCCGTCCTGGGAGGGAGGGTTTTTCCCAGGGCTCCCTTCCCGCTCCTGTGAAAGCTTTTTGTGCACAAGGTTTTGATCTCGGCTCAAATCCAGGCTTGTGGAGCTGGAGATGAACCAGCTGCCACCCAGGAGTAGCCCTACTGCTTATGGGGACAATGACAAAACCCCATCTGAGGGGAAATGTCCGTGCCCAACACAGCGTGCAGGCAAACGGTGAGGGAGCCTGATCTCACCTGGACTAACTGGGGCTGTGCTGGGCTTGCTTGTGCTTGGTGAGACCATTACTGGAGCTGAGAAGCAGCTTGGAGACCAGTTTCCCAGCTTCACAGGTGCCCTTTCCTCCTGCTGTGCCAAATTCCAAGTCATTGTGCAGCCAAACCCTGGGGGGGTGGGGGGTATTTCAGAGCATCTCTGTGCCCCAGCTCCCTGGAAGGAGGGTGAAGGTGCAGATGGACGAGTCATGAAGTTACACCAGAGGAACCAACTGGGAGAAGAGGAGTAAGCAACGAGCCTGTGGAGATGTCCCAGGATGGACAGACAGCTGAGGAGATGGCTGTGCTGCCTGAGCAGGTGAGGGCAGCTCCATGTCAAGCCCTGCCCATCACAGGGTCCTCAGCCAGGTCCTGATGGAAGCAGAGCCCCTGACTCTAGGATTGGGGGTTAGTGTCTCCCAGAGATGGTTCCTCCCAAGATGTGGGGGTGACGTAGGTTGGATCTGAGATGTGCTGGGGTGTGTTCCCACAAGCTGCAGGACAGGCCATGCAGGACCAGCCCAGGAGCCAGCATCTACCGAAACCTCTCTCCCTTTCCAAGGACCCTCTTGCTGCTGCCGAGGAGAAGGAGGGAGCACTGGAGGATGCTGGAGCAGAGGCACCGTTCATTCCCCTGTGGTCTTCAGAGATGGGGATGCCAGACACTCTGCCCAGCACCTGGGCTGGGGGGGAAGACACAACCACCTTGGGGACTGCCCTGGGAGAAGACACCGCTGGGATAACACCCCTGGAGGGTGCTGGATCCCCTGGACCACCCCCAGCACTGCCCATGCCCGAGGAAGCCATTTCCAGCCCTCGCTCAGGCTGTGGGGAGCAGGAAACACAGCAGATGAGTGGGGAGGACAACCAGCATGATGGCTCTGCCAGCTTGGTGTGGGCAGCCGTGCCGGGGATGCTCTTCCAGGAGGACAGGAAGACCAGCCTGCACCCTCTCGTGAGTATCAGCGGGCATGGTGTCACCATGATGGTCCCCACAGCACCCAGCACTCCTGCCCAGCTCTCTCCCATCACCCCACAGACCTTTTGTGGCTTTTTTTTCTCCTGGCCATTAAGAGTCAGGGACAAAAGCTCTGTCTCTTCCCTGCAGAGCCTCTCCTGGGTGTTGGGCTACAACAGCAGCCTGGCCGTGCACAGTCTGATGGATGAGGAGGACCAGGTGCTCCTGTACGTCTCCTCCCACACAGTGGTCATCCATGACATGCTGGGGAACAGGCAGTACCACCTGCAGGTCTGGCACACAGCCCACACATTTCCCTCCTCCTCCTCCTCTCCTGACCTCTGTCCCTCCATCCCTTTTGCCGGTGCCCTCCACGTGCTCACAGCTGGATCATTCGGTGGTCTTTGGGTGTTCCATGGGTGTCCCATGTGGGTGTTCCATACATTTGTGGTATGAGGGTGCTTAGGGGTCACCTGTAACTGAGCTGAGGAGGAGCCCACACAAAGGAGAGAATCGTTCTGCTCACGTCCTGTTTCCATTCCCAACACGTGTTGGTGGAACGCGCTTTGGGTTGGATTGCAGCGGTGATGGCAAGCGGCACGTGGGCTGTGGGCCCCTCCTCTCCGCTGCTCCTCAGCCTGGGGAGCCACAGCCAGAGCAAGGCACAGGGACAGGGTGATGGGCTCAGAAGGGCCTGTGAAAAATGGGATGTAAAAATTGGGCTGGAAGGATGAGAATGGAAGACCCTTGGGAGGGAAGAGCCACCCGGTCTGGAGCCTCCGAGGCACTTTGCTGCTTCTCTTTCCCCAGGGCCACACAAATGTCATTTCTTGCCTGTGTGTGAGTGAAGACAGGCGCTGGGTGGCAACTGCTGACCGAGGGCCAGATCCCCTGATCATCGTGTGGGATTCCTTCTCTGGGTAAGCTCCCAGGAATCTCCTCTTTAGAAATCTCCTGTGTCCAGTAAATTGCCTAGGACTGACTCCAGCCTCAGCTCAGAGTGAAATGGGAGAAACAACACTGGGATGGGGTAAAGGGGCCAAGAAGCCAAAAATGAACTGAGGGCTTCATCATCCTCACATCACCCACAACCACGGGACAGTGCGATGGGGCCGAGCTCCAGTAAGAATTCCATCACATCTCCAGGCTGTAGTGTTTTCTTAAAAGACCACTAGTGACTTGTTTCCCAGAGCCATTTACTTGGGAGGAAGGGATGGAGAGGATGCTGAGCATCAGCCGTGGTGCTGGCTGTTCCCACTTCACGTGCAGTAACAGCACCAGTGTTTGCAGAATCCCTCCCCGCCCCGCAGACCGGGGTGGGCTGTGCCACAGATTTGGCCAAACAATTGCCATGAACCCACCGTGCTGCCATCAGCCCCCCACGAGGACTCTGCTCTGTAGGGTACCGGTACGGACCATCTTTGAGAGTCACCCAGAGGACGGGGTCAGCGCTATTGCTCTGTCCAAGGATGCGAAGTATTTGGCAACTGTTGGTGCTGGAACAGTGCAGGTACAGAAAATATCTCCTCTTTCCCAGCCTTGGGGGACAGATCCCAGGAAGTTTTTCCTAGTGCAGCAAAGGGGAGGGGGGAATTCAGATGGGGAATTTAGAAGAGAAGTGGAGCAGGTTTCCAGATGATGGCTTGTTTTTGCTGAGCTGTTGGAAGACAGACCTGGATTTCATTAAAGTGAATGAAAATGTTGAGAATGAGAAATGTTGAGTTGAGAAAATGGATCTTAAGTTGAGATAAAAGCTTTTGACTCCAATGCGCTTTCATTGAAGCCATTTCTTCTCGAAGCTTTGTTTTCTGAAATTAAACTCTCCACTGCCATGCCATGCAGGGTTTATCCTGCTCCAGCCTTTCATACCCCCAATCCCCTGTGGCTGGTGGGAATGGGATTCACCTGGCTCCTCTGAGCTCCCAGAAAGCCACAAACATCCCTTGAGATTTCCCTTTTCTTCCAGAGAGTTTGTGTTTGGAAATGGACTTTGCCCACAGAGAAACCCACGTGCAGCACGGAGCTGAGGCCTGAGTTTGGGTATCAGGTGGGTGATGATGGTCGAGAGCACAGAGGAGCGTGACTGGGCTGGACTGGACAGCCCTCTCCCTACCTGCTCCCCCCCAGTGCCACCATCCAGTACTGGGCTGCTGGTAGATGCTGGCTGGAGATGGGAGGCAGGATCACAGCCCATCCCTGCTGCACCCCAACACAGCAGAACATCTCAGGGCTGTTATCACAGCTCCTCCACTGCCTGACAGACATGGGACATAGAGGGGACGCTGGTGGGATGTCCTCCACCGCAGCCCTGGCACTGGCCATGGCTCAGGGCCAGAAAATCCCACAGCCCTGCGGGCTTGTCCCCGTTCACAGAGGAGAGAGCACAGCTCCGGTGTTTCACAGGGAGTTTGGCCTCTCGTGTCAGTTCAGAGCAGGTGGTGATGTGACTTTTGGATAAAAGCAGATGTTTTGCATGAAAGAACAAGCAGAAAGCATTGCTCGGCTGGGCATTAATGTGCTCCTCACCTTTTAATTTCAGGATTATGTCATTTTTAACCCTCAAAATCCCTCTGAGTTTGTCAGCAACAGCAAAACCCAGGTGATATTTTACCTGTGGGTAAGTCGGGACATGGGAAGTTGTATTTCTGGTGCGTTCCTCTGCCCTCACCTCCCTCGCCCCTCCCCACTCCCTGCCTCTGCTAGACTGGAAGGTCGTCCTGTCTCCCTTCACTCCCATGCTGGTGGGTCCCAGCCGTGGCAGTGATGTTCTCCACCTCTCCCACCCCCGCTTTCCCATGGGCCCTTCATGAGCCTCACGCAGGTCAGCAGCTCTGGGAGAGGAGTGGGTGGAGGGAGAGGGTGTTTGTGGTCTCTAGAAGGTCTTGGAGCCTTTCTGCCGCAGCAGCCCTGCTTTGGTCACCATGGCTGGGGGGCAGTGGCCAGATGATGGGGAGGGGACATGCTGGCACTGCAGAGCACAGTTCCAAAATGCTTGTCCTGGGTGTTTTCTCCACTTTCCACAGAGCGATGCTGGGTTGCAGTACGAAGTGCCGCTCCTGAGCAGCCAGGTGAGTGCAGGGGGGACCACAGCACGTCACCCCCTTGGCTCTCCTCCTGGCAGAAGCACTGTCCCTTCCCATCCCCTTAAGCAAAACCAGTGGCCATGTCTCCAGCCTGTCTCCTAACGAGACAGGCCAGGATGGCCTGAGCAGAGGTCAAGAGGGGGTCTCTCTCCCAAAGATGCCCCACTGCATCTTCTCCTGGGGCTCTTGCCTTTGATGGTCCTGCCATGGGACAGGGAGGGAATGTCACATAGAGGGAGGACCAAGCAGGAATATCCCTGCTTGAGGAGGGAAGAGCCAGTGCCCAGGCCTTGCTGTTCTCTCTGCAGACCTTCAATAGTGTGGTGGGACACTTCAGCCAGTCGGTTTTTCATTTTAACAACTCACAAGCTCTGACGGGCACCTCGGCTGGGAATCTTGTGGTGTGGCACATCGTCAGTCCCCGCTCCCCCTCCAAGGAAACGCAGACCAAGCCACACGTGAAGGCCACCAAACTGGTGCCTTTGCAGAAGGAGAGCCTTACCGTGCTCCAGGTGTCCGAGAGGTAACGGGACAGCAGTTTTCAGGAGCTGTAGGCACAGTCCTCAGACACCCCAGCCACAGGAATGGTGATGAACTGTGACCAAGTGCTGCAGTTCTCAGTCACTTGGCAGCGTGTGAGGACCAGGGAAATTCATGCAGGAAAGTGATGCTGATTTATGAGCCGTTGCTCTGGCTTTTCCCAGCAATTAATTTGGCTGGGAAAAAAAAAAACCAACCAAACAAAACCCCCCCCCCTCCAAAACCCAAACTTGAAAACTCCTGGAGATGTGATCCCAGCCGTGCTCCGGTGGCTCAGACACTGGGCTGGTGGCTGAGTCTTGCTCAGCCTCCTGGCCTTTACCGGCAGAGGGAGCAGACAGCCACCAAACGCCTTGAGAGCCTTGGGGACAGGGCAGGTGACACTGCAGGGTGATAGCAGAGCCTGCTGGCTTCTGCACAGCCCTGGGCTTTCCCCCTGGGCATCTGTATGGGGGTCTTCTCATGCACTTGTGCAGAGAGAAGGGGAAGAGAGATGCTTCTGCCCAAAGGTGCCATCTAGGAAATATTTGGGAGTTCTCGATCAGTGTGTTGATTAAAAATTTTCCCTTCCTTGCAGCTGCATAGTGACAGGGGACAGGAAAGGTCAGGTTAAATTCTACAATGGGAACCTGCAGCTCCTCGCCTGCTACAGCCACAGCAAAGTGGGTCCCATTCGGTCCATCTCCTTTTACAAAACCCCTCGTGGTGCCTCCCCAGCCTCCTCCACCTCCAGCATCACTGGCAACCAGCCCTTCATCACCAGGTGAGTGACCCTTTATAAACCCAGCTCTTCTCCTGCATTTGCCCTGCAGCTTTAAAGCTGGGGAGATGGTCAGCTGAAAGCTGCCCCAGGGGCTTCTGCCTTGGCTGGAGCAAGTTTCAACCCTGTACCCAGGCTTCTGGGCAGGTCAGGGAGGGAACATCCCCCTTAATACCCCTTCTCCACAGATTTTCACTTTGGGTATTTGTCCCACCAGAGACAACCATGGGGGTGTCTTCTGGGCAGCCCCCCTCTTCCTGCATAGCCCCCAGGCATCTCCCAGTGGCCACCAAAAATCCAGGTGAGCCCCAACACATCTTAAATGTTGAACTTGATGTAATGCCTTGGTGCAGGCGAGAGAAACACAGGCACAGAGATGATCAGCTGGTCCTGGAGCTCCTGTCACGTACCCAGCAGAACAGGCAGTGCTAATGCTGAGCCTCCAGCTCCAACTTGGCCCCTTAATCCCTCCCTTAACCCCCCCGTGGATGGCTATTTCCAGTTAGATTTTATCATGGCTGGGCAAGCTAATCGGGGTAGAGACTGCCCCAGCGGTGATGGCACCAGTGCTGGGTTGTACCACATGGACTCAGGAGCTTGGGACATCCCCAGCCTGGTTGCCAGCCCCTCTCTGCCCCTCTGCGTGATGTAGCTGTGCCTGAGGATTTATAGGAAGTCTGGAGGCCAGATGAAGCTGTTCTGTGGCTCAATCCAGCCTGCAGACCATATGTCTGTCGCTCCTGTTAAGGCTCTCCTGGCAACCTCTGTCCTTAGCTGCACATGTTTTCCAAAGAGCCATGTGGGACAGATTCCTCTCCAGCCTGGAGCAGCGCCCTGGGGAACGGTTTGGTTTTCTCTGATGGTCTCTGTTGTCTCGTCCCTTTTCCTGGGTCGCTGCTGCAGCTCCTGCTGCTCACAGCTGCTCTGGGCAGCACAAAAGGCAGAAAACCAAAGGGGAAGCCTTGAGCCTGCTTGTCTCACCAAGCTGGTGGGATTAGGTGTGGCTGAAGAGCCCAGCTGAGGCATGCAAGAGGCACAGCATCCGTCAGTGCCCTGCCAGATGTGCATGAACCCATGGCTGTCATGGGCCAGCTAGCAAAGAGGCTCCGTCTCCCAACTCGTGCTGCCTGTGTGATGCAGCCATGCACGTCTGTCTGTGCCCCTCCTAGATCTCTGTGAGATCCTCCCTTGACCCTTTCACAGGGCCCAGACTCTCAGTCCTCAGGTGAACCGATGACTATACATATTTGTTCTGTGATGTGCATAATTATTCAGACGTCTGCTTTACACATCACCAATTATGCAGCAGGACCCTCTGCGCCGCGTTACGGTCGGCGCGGCCGAGCGAACAGACAGGCAGCCGCTCTGTCTGCAGCGTGGGACTCCAACTGTCCTCTGACCTTATCCGTGGCAGTGCAGTTAACATGAAGCCACTGACAATGGTGGCATGGAGACATGTGAAAAGACTATTCAGAGTATCTTCAATTGCTTATTTGTCCGTCTCACACACCAGTGACTTGCAAACGGCAAAAGCTACCCAGATGTCATTCATCTTCTGGTTTGCTTACCCAAGGAGAAAATGGAACTGGCTCTAGTGTCTTCCCATGGAGATTTACCAGGTTGTGAATACAAAGTGCCACCTGCCTTCCAGGTTAAAAAGTGTTTGCATATTGCAAATCGCAAAATATAAATGATTGTCCAACTAAGTTGTTAAAAAGAGACTGATGTGCAATATAGCTTGGAGGGACGTGAGCCAGCTAGTCTGATTCATCAAATTCTGTTTCTCTCACACTAAACAGGAACTTTATCCTTTCAACCTCTGATGCAACCGTGTTCCATGTTGCAACAGACAGCGCAAACTTTGAAAAAGTCATGGAAGAAGCAAAGCGAGCTGTGAATGCTGTCGCCTGCCACCCCCGGCAGGCACGCCTGGCTGTGGGGAGTCACTGTGGGCTGCTGAAGGTGTGGGACTACCAGCAGACCACGTACCTCGTTAGCAGGATATTCACCAAGGCCGGCATCCGGTGCTTGTCCTATGACCCTGAAGGTATCCTGGCCTCATGACGTCCCCATGGGTTTCCTGGGAGGAGCGATCGTGTCGTGAGAGTTTTCTGGCATGTTTTTCAGGTTATTTTCTGGCTGCTGGTTTTACTGATGGAAGTGTTTACATCCTCGATGCCATTTCCCTTCAGTCCAGCTGCAAAGAGTTCAAGTTCTCACATGGTCCCGTAACTCATATCAGCTTCTCTCACGATTCCGAGTACCTCGCCACTGCCGTAAGCTTGTTTTTTCCTCTCGGTGATTTACGTGCGCAGCTCGTGGCGCAGTTTTTGGTGGGACTGGGAATTGCTGGCCATCCTGTAATATACAGCAGAGTGAGCAGTGTGGAGGGCTGTCCCTTCCCCAGAGTTTCGTGACTCTGAGATGCTTTTCCTGGCTTGAAGAGTCACTCTGTAAAAACGTCACCAGCCACAGCCGCTCCACAGACCTGCTGCTGGCAGTGTCCCATCGCTAACTTTAGTGACAAGTTTTAGCTCCGCATCCATCTGTAGAAAGGGCTGGAGCAGGGTTTTCCTCCTGGCTGGTGAACCATGAGGCAGGTTGCTCCCTTGGTCCCATGTCTCAGTGCAGATGGGTTGAGGCAGCGTTGAAGCAGCTTGGCACAGAGGGTGTAGCAACTGATGATGATCTGTACAAAGAAAATGACTCCCCCTTCATGCATGGATGCCAGGGCACAGCAGTGGGAAGCATCTTCCTTGTGATTTCTGGGGAGTCACTGAACTCGATTTACTGCCCCTCTGCTGTGAGAGCATGGCAGGGAATGTCCTCAGGATGCTCTGGCCTGGCTGAGGACCACTGCGGTGCCACCCTTGGGAGCAGCTGCCCAGATCTGCCTGATGCAATGTTCTATCCTGGCTGACTCTCACCCTCCTGGTGGGACTCACAAAACTGAAAAGAGGGGACAGGCAAAGCTGCCTGCTGCCAGCCAGGGGATGTGGGCAGGGATCGTGGCTCGTTGACCTTTGGGCTGTCATTCCAGGATGAGAAATACTCGGTGATTGTTTACAAGAGAGTCCTGCAAGACGGGAGCAGATGCTGGGAACACCTAGCAGGGCTGCACTCCCACTACAAACCCATCCGGAGCATCCTCTTTGGGGTCCAGTTAGACAGCAATGAGCCCAGGCTCCTGAGCCTTGGGGAGGACCGGCAGCTGGTAAGTCGATGTGAAAGTCTAAAAGGCGGCGGAGTTTTGTGGGTGAAGTAGGGGGCTGGACAACAGCATTGAGGGAGACTCAGTCTTCAGTTCTGCAGCTCCTAACCCCCTCCCCACCAGCTCCATTGCTGAGCGTGGTTTCTCTGCCTGGTCTCAGGGCAGATCTACCCAGGGTTCAGGGCTCAGGCTCTGCTACCACGGGCTGCTCACCCCAGCTGCTGCAAGAGATGCTAGATCCAGTTAATCTGCAAGGTCCAGGGTGCTGGCAGACCACAGGGGAGTTGCTGTGTTTCTTTGTCTTCCCTCCAGGTTGAATATGACCTGAACAGCAGTAGCAAGGACCACTTGGTGGTCTTGCACAAGGACAGGGTAGAGCAGATTGCTGTGCCCTTGTGCTTGGCCTGGTACCCACAGTTCAGCACTGAGTCCTTTATCCTCACTGCCAACAGCTCCTACAAAATGAAGCTCTACAACACAACGACCAAAATGTGCAGGTAGAGGAGAGATTCATGCCTACCACTGCCAGGGAGCCCCATCCTGACTCTATGTTCTCCTCTGTCTAATGTCTGTCCTACACATGAGCATGTGTTAGCCCGTCTGTGATGCAAATGTCCATCCTTGTGTCCATTCTGCTCTTCACTAGCATGTCATCTATTAAGGTTGTGGCTGCAGGTGTGTCTCTGTCTGCCCAGCATGTTGGACTTGAGACGCAGTTGCTGGACATCAGATCAATAGTCAGGAGCCCACACAAGCAAAGCACAAGGACTGAATGATCCCTAAATTCATCTCTTAGCCCCACTGTGGTCCCTTCTAGTCAGGGACTCTGTCCTATCCTGTCCTCTCAGCCAGTAGTACAAAGCCTTTGCACCCACCACACCTCCCCACATCTACCCATCCTCGTGCACCGCAGCCATTCAGAGAGTGAAAACATTTTGTGAGCCCTAGAATGGCTGGAAATGTTGTTTGCCTTTAGAAAGACCCTTTTGGGACCAACCTATGGCTCCCCATTGGAGAAGATGCAAATCCTCCCAACAACGGACCCCCAGAAACACTACCTGGCCTACATTACAAAGGACAAGGTATGGAGCCCCGTCTGCCCCATCTGTACAAGAGCCCCACTCATGGGGGTGGTGGTCCCTGGGGAAATTTCACGGCACACACAACCATGGGTAGGCTGGTCCTGGCCGAGAGCTGAGCGAGCTCCTGGGAGGAGGATGCAGCACTGCCCTGGTGTGCAGCCCCCCCGTGGGACCCCCAGCCCTCCCAGGCTCCCTCTTTCCTTACAGGTGGGCTTGCAGATTTTGCCTGTCGATGGCAACCCCCACAAGTCCTCAGCTTTCATTTGCCACCCGGATGGTGTCTCTGACCTCGCTAGCTCCTACGATGGACGCTACATCTTTACAGTGGGGGGGAACGACTGCACTCTTATGAAATGGGAGGTCAACCTAAAGTGAGTATGGCAGGAGGGAGAAAGGAGTCTTGTTACGGCTTTCCACAGCTGCTTGGCCAACACAGCTGAAGCAAATGTTCTCTAGTATTTACACTGAGAATGGGGCTTTTGTCCTACAAGGTCTCTGTTTGTGTCCAGAGGAGTTAAAGCCAGGTGTCTTAACCATTTCTGTGCCTATGGGACAGCACAGCAGTGTGCTGCAAGAGGAGCGTTTCTTTGCAGGGCTCACTTGAGCACAGGTCATTTTGGGGCAGGTGACAAAGCCCTGCAACTTTGCTCTCCTTCCACCACACAGTGCCCATGATCAGGTCAACAAACTGCATCTGGCAAGGAGGGTCACGGGGTGGAGGACAGGTCCCAGCACTCATGCAAATGGGAGACCCACCGCTCGTTGAGAGGAGCATGAGTCTGGCAGCATCTCTGCTCAACTCTGGGGGCTGCCAGCTCCTGGACACCTGGTCTGAAACTGGGTTTATTAATAGTGGAGCCTTGCACCCTGTGTTCACACAGGTTGTCCAAAAGCCCTGGCTCGGCACCTACAGACAGCCCAGCATGGTGGGCACATGCCATGCTGGGGGTGGTGGCATGGCAGTGGGGTCAGCCTGGATTGCAAGGACCTGTCAGGCCCCAAGTAGATATGTGGGGTGGCAGCTGAAACAGGGGGGACACACTTTTGGGGGAGCTTTGCTCCACTCTCTGTGGCTACACCACATAGTCAATAGTGGGGATTAAACCAGCAGACCTCGCAGGTGGTGGCCATAGCACCTATAAAATACTCCAGTTTGGGAAATGGTACCCAACTGGTAAGAAGTTGAGCAGAGGATTTTCTGGTCCTTGTGAGGGCCTGGCCAGTGTGATGGGGATTGTTGGGGTTAGGCAGGGGATCAGAGGAGCAGCACTAGCTGCAGGAGGAGCATACGGAGCAACTGCTGATAGAAAAGCATCTGCTCCCCAAAGGGGATAGGCCAGCATTTGCTGGGAAATCCCTCTGTGTTTGAAGACTGGATTTAGGACAAACCACCTTAATCCTATAAAGCTTTGCTTACATGAGTAAATGGACAGCAGTAAACGGGGTGGCTGGAGGAGTGTGAAGGCTGCTTTTGCAAACGAGGATTCCCAGGCTCTGGCCCAAAGCGTCAGCGACAAACCCTGCCAGGTTTCTCCTGCCTTTCTCTGGAAGTGTGCAGTTTCCCTCTGCCAGCTCCCTTGGGCAGCGCTGCCAGCCGCGTGCTCCCATGTGGCAGACGGGTAATGCGGCAAAGGCAGCCTATATATTTTGGTTTCTTTCCATGTCAAGGACCAAAGCTGCTCATTGCAATGCGTGTGCAGGGCAGAGAGCGCTCTCCCCTTGCGAGCGTGGCTGCAGATGCCCGGTGGACACATGGGTATGTTGAAAGGGAGCAGGCAGCAGGGAATGGCTGAAAACTGCCAGGAGCAACTTCACGCTTCAAGGATGGGACAGGGAGCTTGGCCTGTGTCAGAGCTAGAGAAGGCAGGTAGCGTGGCACATTCCCTGTCAGTCTGTGACTGGATTTTTTTATCCTAATGTCACCCTACTAGCACAGAACACATCTCCTGGTTTCTGGCAAATCAGCCCCATGGGAGCTGGCTTTTAGCCCTTGCTCCTATTTTTGCCTTTTGGAGTGCACTGAACCTGTGAAACACCATTGCTCCTCACCATCCTGGGACAAAGGCTTTGTGGTTAAGACACGTGCTGATCCCACGTAAAACATTTCTTGTAGGTACTGCTCACTCAGAGCAAAGCCCAAAGGGTGCTGAGCCAGCTCACCTTCATGTGCCAGAACAAAGGAAACCTGGATGGGAAAGCAATGGGCTTATTTATTTTCTTTTCCACTTTGTGTGGCTTAAGCAGTCGGGGGTCAGAATAAGCGACATTTTAAGGAAGGCAATAGAATATAAATGATCCTTCTTTATAATGGTTGGCCAGGGTCCAGGCAACGTTGAATTTCTATGTAATTTGTTTTTGGAGCGAAGCTCTTGATGAGCTAATTATCATTTTATTGCTGCTTCTGGCATCTTGTGCATCTCCACTGTGTTTAATACCCAAATAACTTAATTATGAAAAAAGCATGAAGCTTGCAAAAAAAACCCAGTGGAAGCAACACTACAGAGGTGTGTGTGTGAGAGCTGCAGCCTTGCTGCCAGGCGTGGGGTATTATGTGGTAATACTACGCCGTGATTGCGCTACCAGGCTTGGTTTCCTTTTTCATCTGCACAAGCTGAACGGATTCTTTTGGCTCCAACTGCCTGTGAAACTGAAACAAAGAGGTGGCACTCAGACACTTCCAGTTTAATGTAGACTGCACCTGTGCCACAGTCACCCGTCACAGCAGAGAAGTAGCGTAATGGATTGCACTGAGTTACTGGGGAAGAATGTGTTAGATCAAGGGACAGGGAGCTCAGTTAGGTTTGTGTGGTTTATTGCAAACGCCAAGCCCCAGCCCTCTCTGCATGTTCAAAATGCTGATCTAGCTAATTCATCTCCCTCAATGTCTCTATAAGGAAGCAGAAAAGCTAAATGCCAGACACCAAGCTCAAGTCCATGGAAAAGCTCCTGGCTCCCAGCCCTGTGCTCATTCCACTAAACAAGAGGACCATTCAGTAATAATTAATTCCCACACTGTGCTATTGTATGTAAAACCTGGGTATGAAATATGATGTAGAAGTGCAGGCTGATGATGATATACTGTACGGTTCAAGGCAATGCTTCTCTTCCCTGAATCCTGAGGCCCAGGGATTTTATTTATTTATTGAAAGTGTCTGTGAAGGATGACTAGAAAAGGAAACGTGAAATCTCTCCTCATGTGAACCCTTCCTGTACCTTCTTTTCTCTGCTTCTGCCAGTGCGTTGGATGCTGCTGCTTCCCTGGGTGGGGAGGACTTGATCCCATTCTACAACCTACTGGATGGTGGCAGGGAAGGCGAATTCTTCAGGGTAATTATGCTGACGGTGAACGCTATCTGGCAACATCTGCTTGGAGTTTAAGATTCATTTATACAGGCCTGACATTTCTTTATTTTTTGTCCAGCTCTCCTCTAACAGCAATTTCATTGATATGCCTGTTAGTCAATCTTAAAAGAAGTCTTATCTTCCACTCCTGTTGGTAACTGAACTTTACAGTATCTTGTTTGAATCCCTGGCAGGAACTGGAAGACTATTTTTACTATGCACAGCTGCGCAGCTGTGGTGTCGATACACTGGAGACCAGACAGGTGTCAACACATATTCCCTTGGAGGAAATTCCTTCTGTAATGAGAGCAATGGGATTTTATCCATCAGAGGAAAAGGTCGGTCAGTTGTTTTTATTGTTGTTATTAAAAGAAAAAAGAGTAAGACTGTGATTGCATTTACCAAGTGTCTCAAGGGCCAGATTCTGACCACTGTCATGCTGGATGGTTCCAGAGTGTATTTGCTGGCTTTCAAGATATTTAACGTGGCCTGAACTCCTCAAAAAGTAATGATTCCTCACCAGAGAGCTGGGCAAGTGCAGGGGCAGGCTGAGCACACCTGGAGCCTGATGGTTCAGAGGTGTTCAACAAATCATGATCTCAGGGTCTGCCACCACTGCAGAGATGGATTTCTTCAGGTGAACTGAGAAAGCTGAGGAATGAATGTTCCTTCGACTCCCAAGGGCAGCAGCATCCAACTTTCCCAAGTCCATGGGCTAAAGTACCTTGAGTGCAGGCAGCGAGGTGCTTTGGTCTCTCTGTGACTTCTACTACTGGCTGAGCCATTTTACATGCTGCATAAGGTTGGTGGGCCATGGGATGAGCTCCTCCAGGTTGGCTGGAGACTCAACCAGAGTGTCCTATATGTGTTACCAACGTGGGTGGGAATGCCCAGTTCCATGCAGTCACTCGTTGGGACATTGACAGAGCCTCTTTTCTTGTTCTGCCTGGGACTGATGAAAGAATGATTTTTTAGATGGAGGCAGCAGCTTTTATTCCCATAGAACTTAAAGCTCTTTCATAACTGATAAACTCTGCAGAAGCGCTCCCTGAGCTTGCCTTTTGGGTTGCAGCAGTGGAGCTTCCTATCAAACATTTCTCAAGAGCTTTTCAGCTTCAAATTTTAAAGCAGACAAAGACAACTGATTTAATAAGGGTGCTGCTTTCTTCCCCTTTTGTGGCTGTTTCTACAAGGTAGTTTGTACTGTATACAAACCTCAGTTGTAATGTTGTAACCTGACAAAAGGGTAATTAAAGTGCATTAAAAAAAAATTACTGAATCTGATGCAAGGAGATTTAAATAATGACCTCGTTGCACCAGCCCTTGATGTAGGAGGGGTTCTCCCAAGGGTAGTGGTACATCACTGTGCTCCCTTCATCTTTCTGCGAGGGAGGCTGCGTTCCCAGGAACCCCACAGGCTGCTGAGATGGTGCTGTGAGTCAGTGCCACACCATCTGCCCCGGGCGTGCTCTCTGCCAGGAGAACCAGCAGATGGGAAGCAGGACCTTTGCCACAGCCACCGCCTAACAGACTTGCTTTGGAGCCCCCACAACCACAAATGTTCCTCTGAGCCAAGCCCTTGTGTCAAGCTGTGGTGTTATCCCCTCGTACTTTGTTAGATCTTTTCTTTGGCTCATCACATTTTTGCCTCTTGAGGACAGAGAGAACGTATTCCCCTGGGAAATGTCTCTGGAAGAGTAACTGTTAACCCCACCCCAAATCAAAATGAAAACAGCATTTCAGGCACGGAAACAGAGGTGCTGAGCTGCTGTGAAACCAGGCAACCTACAATCTGCTTCTCAAAGCAGGCAGGACAGTATTAAAATCCAGAGAGAAAGCTGGTCTTTCTCTAGAGTGTTTTAATAAAAGGAAAAGTAGGAGGGAGAAAAGGCAGCTTGGGCTGACTAGCAAACCTTTTGGGAATTGGTGTTTTTCTTTTGTAGTTCAGTGGGGCTAATATAAAACCTAATCCCAGATCAGCCAGAGCCGAGTGAAAATGACTGTTCTTGCCTGGTGTGACATTCGCTACAGAAAAAATGTAAGGCTGAGATTTCCCCTCTTCCCTGGGCTTCATTCAGTGGAAAAACTTGTGACACAAGGACAAAGGCCCAAGGCTGAATGCAAAGTCCTCCCCAGGGAGATCTTGCATCAGCTTCCCTTCCTGGGGAGTAGCAGGCTTGGTACATGTTGGCACGGGGAGTTCTGCCGGCGTTTCTCTGCTGCCCATGTATCTCCAAAGGGGCTGCCTCTCCGAGCACCAGCACAATGAAGGCACAGAGCAGATCCTGCGTTTCGGACACGCATCTGCACAGCTGCCAACTGGGCTGACTCACAGCACCAGACTTCAGGAAAACCACTAGTTTCCAGCAGAGCCAGTGCTGGCCCGTTTGTCCGAGAGAAGAGTGAGTGATCCAGCTGTGCAGGATGTCAGCCCCACTGAGCCAATTTCAGATTTGGCTTGTGCAGTGGCAGAACTGCCCCAGATGCCTGTCAGACCAGGGAGGGTGGGGAAGATTGCCTGTGCCAGCCAGAGTGTTTATATCCTGTGCGCAGACTGGTTATGTCGGGACTTTCATGCGTGTACATTTGTAGCAGGGTGGTGTATTTACTGGTTTGTGGTTTAGCCTGTCCTCTGTCCCCAGAGTGGAGACACCTGTGGCGAAGGTACCGGTAACAGCTGCAAAGTCACCGAGTGTCTATCATAAGAAAATAGAGGAAATCCAAAATTACTACATATCTGCTACCCCCATCGTTAGCTAATATTGTCAAAACAGCAGGGGTGTAACCGTTAACCATGTCCATCCTCAGGTGCTGAGCTGTAGCTTATTACTGGGATGTGGTCATGGCATCTGCGGTACCAGCACGTGCGCGATTACAGGACACTGGCATTCATGAGATTCCAAACTGGCCTGATGCTCTTTAAAAAGAAAAACGTGTAACAGTCTGTCTTGCCTTGATCTTTAGATTGAAGACATGATAAATGAAGTAAAATTCGGCGAGTATGTGGATACTGGAGAACAAGTGACAAAAATCAGTTTAGGGGATTTTATCAAACTTTATATAAATCATCGACCTGCATTTGGCTTGTCAATGAAAAAAATACAACGAGCGTTTCAGGTTCTTGGTTATGATAATGAGAACGGAGACAAAGTTATTGACAGAGGAGACTTACTGTTGCTGCTTCAGTGCAGAGGTGAGTTATTTCTTTTCTAATATTAGTTTTATGCTTGCTAGTTCTGCCTTCAATTTCAGAATGTATTCACTGCAGCAAAAAATTAATCTGGAACTATAGCTTGGTAACCAGGGCAGGCATGTGGAGCCACTTGCCTTAGAATTTTAAATTGAATAATCACATCTATTGTCTCAGCTGCACTTCTTTTACTGCTCTGGAAATCTCTGCTGGCCTGAAGTATCTTGTCTGTCAAATGATGAGTATGGATCTTGGCAAATTGTGTCCTTCTTCCAGTATACACTTATCTGAATCATTGTTCTCTCTTCCAGTCATGCAGTTTCCAGAAAGGTAGTGTAAAACTGGAAAAAAAGGGGTAACAAGAAAGAAGGGATGAAATTAGTTAGTCCTGGGCTGAATCTATGTGTGGAAGACTGGAAAGAGGGGATGGTTTAGTTCAGCTGAATCAGAGGGAGCTCTGTAGAGGCGTGTATATGCTTATGGCCAATGTTGTAGAGAGGTAAAATAATGAATTTCTATTGCTTTGCTCCTGTTGTAAAATCAGGGAGCATTTAGAGCAGCTAAGCCTTAAAACAGGTAAAGGGAAATGCTGTTTTACTCCATACAGCACCTGGTAAAACTCCTTGCCACAAAGATCCTTGGAAACCAAGGATTTGACCAGTGTGAGAAAGGTTAGTTATTTATATGGATGGTGTGAACATCCAGAAATAGATACATTAGATAGAACAGTTTCATAACATATCTATAACCTTATGCCTCAGGGCATGAGCCAACCACTAACTGGGAACACGTGCTACGTCCAGGTTATCCCAGGATACTAGATCAAGACTTTCCTGCGTTTTCCTCTCCCTCCTCTGTGTGGAAATGGCTACAGCCATGGACATGGGGTGACATGGACTGTGGTCTGTCCTGTGCCAGAAATTCTTCAGTGGGAATAGAAGCTCAAGTCCCTGGAAGTGCAATGTAGCCTAGTGAGCCACTGGCATCAGAATTTCTCCCTTTGATAAATATTCTTGCCCAAAATACAATATGCAAAACCAATTTTCCTTAGGATTAACATTTTCCTGTGTTGGGATCACACATTTTGATTGGCGATGGGTAGCTCTATCTCAGAAAAACCAAATCCTCTTTCAAACTGTCCCATTTTGTTTGTACACCATTCTTGTTCGAGTTGCCTTCTAGTTTGTGTGTTAACAACACCGTAACCCAAAGGGGCTGGTTTTGCTTTGGTTTGTACAGGAGAGCACATGACAGAGGACGAGCTGGCACAGTGTCTGATCACCCTGATGGGCAGGCATCCTGGAGGAGGAGGATCCGAACCGGACACCTACGATCCCTCAGGTAGAGGATTAGCATTCCACACAGCACTGAAGCAGGATGCTTTCAATTCCCAAACAGAATCATTTAAATTGCAAACTCATTACCCTGTTAGGCCAAGAGCTGTCAAAAACACTCAGACAGGATTGCAAAAATAGTTACAGAGGTGTAGATTGTCCTTCATCCATGCAGCAATTGCATGGGTGTATCGGAAAAATAAATGGACAATTAAATATCACTGGGATCTGACAAGATTGGAACTGAAATTAGAAATACAGAGCGGAAGGTTTACATGCCAAAGTCCACAGGCAAAAAGGAATCCTACAATATGCAGAGTTGATTTCATCCAGGCAGCAGTGCCTGTTGTAAGGGAGCTGTTGGTAACCACTGCACTGCTCTACACTGCACATCCCAGTCTACACCAGTACGGAACAGCAAATTACAGCGTTGATTTCGGCCAAGCAGCATTACCCATCGTGGATGGAACTGTTGGGAAGTGCCACATTTTTGTACAATTGGTGTCCCAGTCCACAGCAATCCAGAACAGCATCTGGTTAGGGCTGTTGCCAATGGGTGGCACGCTCCTGAACTGAACTGCCTAGCACCGCAAAACGGCTTTGAAATCCCTGGTTTCCTTAGGATCCTAAAATCATGTCAAATTAACAGAGTGTAAGAGTTACACTTGGCCCCTCGACTCTTCTGAGGTAGGGATCTACTGCAGGTGAGACTCGCAGCCTCACTGATACGAATGCATAGAGCATTAAGCTAGTAAACCAGTAATTTTTTTGTGATTACTTTGTACATCTTTAAAAGCATTCCATCCACTTACTGCTGCTCATAAATTTTACTGATCTGGAAAGCCATTTTCACATTGCTATTGTGTGTTTTGTGTTGTTGTTACTGCTCTCCAGGTGCAGCAGCTTTGACTGAAGCAGAAATTCCAGAGGAAATCACAGCAGAGATATTCGCTGCTGACATTCTTGGCTTACCTATTGCTGAACCAGGAAAAAAGAACAGAAAAAAGAGATGAATCTTTGGTCTATGAAGACACAGAAGCATAGCTGCCACAAAGTTTTCTACTCACTCCTACTTTCCAGCCTCCTCTCCTCAAATATCTTCAAAATTTATATTTTGTGTTTATTAGAAAGTAAAGATCAGAAAGTTTCATATTAATCAAACTCTAGAAAAATCCCTCAGTTTAGCACATGCCACAAACCTCTGGGAGGGAATCACTGGGGTGGCTGTAAAGAATGAAGCAGTAGCGGCCACACTGTCTTCTCGCATTGACCACCCCTACCCTTGGCTGGAACCTTCCTAGAATTCATTTTGGGTGGATTTATGCCAGATGCAGTCTATTTTCATTACATTAAGACAGTATTTATTTGTGAAACCTGACAAAAGAGCAATGTGAAGGTATTGTATTGATTAAATACATTGATAAATGTAGTGTACAAAACGCTTGGATAGGTTAGAATGGATTTGTAATTATAAATCCAACGGCTCTCGATAAAGGAATGCTGTGATGTACATTAAGCCCAGGTTTCCCTTTTGGCCTTTAAAACATACTTTTTCTTCCTGAAAGTAGTAGTTCTAATTAGTAGTGTAATACCAATGGGACAGCATCTCACTGTGTTTGTATAAACAGCATAATGAGCCGATACAAGTTGCGGTAGAAAGATCAGTGAAGTGCTGTTGAACACGCTTCCTTCTTTACATCATCCTCAGCATCAATTTGAATAATAACAACACAGGCTCTTCAGCAGCGTTCCTTTCAGCAGCAATGTTTTTTAAACAGAGACCGTTATGTACTCTGAAAGTAGCTGTGATTGTACAATTAGTACAAACAGCAAAGTGTGCACTAGATGGATGCCAAGTTACCGAAGGAGTCCAGCAGCACAATGAGCAGAGTACACTGGGTGACAGGAGAAGTTTTCTGCAGAGCATCACTTCATATGTATGTTCACACACTTCTGTGAACCTGTGTTGGAGCAGATCCTTCCCTAAGAGCAGCCCGATGCCATAGAAATTACTGGGATTATTTTAGGCAGCTGAGATACCTTATAACCACTGGAAAAAAAAAATTAAAAATCTGCATATTATGGATTTATTAAGTCCTCTGTTTAACAGAAAGCATTGCCAATCCTCACGCTCAGTGCCTGCAATACTGTCACGGCGACTTGCACAGGGGCTGGATGGAGCTGTCACTCATCCTGAACCGGCTGCCCGGGAGCGGGGCTCTGCTCCGGAATCCTGGTGTCCCCTCGCAGCACCCGGTGTCCCCTCACAGCGTCCGTTATCCCCTCGCAGTGCCCTGTGTCCCCTCACAGCACCTATTCCCCCCCT